ACCACAAGGCATCTACAGGTCCTCAAAGACAGGGTACCTTGTTCCAATGTTGTTTGGGCATTTACATTAATTCTTTTAAACCTAGTCACTGCTCAGTACCAAGGGTTAGTGTTTACCCACAAGAAAACTATGGAGAACAATTTCTCCAATTTTAAAATCTTCAAAAAAAATCATAAAACAAGTGTTTACTTTGAGTTTCACACTTTACAAGCTCAGACATATAACTCAAGAGAGTGAATATACTTTAAGTTTGAATACTAAAAGACTCATGTTCAATGTGGTACCATTGAAAGAGTGTTGAAAAGGGTTTATTAAGAGGAGAGAAATTATTCAATTAATGGAAATCATTTTATTAGATAGAGTCTCACAAACAGCACTTCTCCCTTGTCCCAGAAGCTGAAAGTACACAGCCAGCATCAACTCCACATCAAGCTGTATGTACTCTGCCCACTGCTATCCAGAGGGGCAAGTACTGCCAGCTTCTTCCAGCTCAGTCCATTAACCGATACCAGCACGAAAGCTTTTTCTTAGAACTGATGCAAGTGCTACACGAGCCTTCATACAAAGCTGGCTTGAAACTTGCATGCTCAATTATGCTAAGCAGAAATATCCTTTTTCAGCATTCTGAAAGCAGTGGATTTCTAAGTAGCCTACTTCAGACATTCTAAGTACTTGAAATGGACTCTGCTCTCCGCTAGACACAGAAATTATAATTTGTCTTCCCCTACTCTCATCAAAGCTGACACTGAAAACATTTGAGATTTTATTTCATATACTTTATTCATACACTTTTTTATTTCGTATACTTACTCAGACACAACAGAAGATTAATCTAGTATGAATCATCTACTAGATTATAAACTATTTAAAGACAGGGGCAGAGTCTGTTCATCTTTCTATCTATTGCATATTAAGCATATAGAATATATTGAGCATACTGATCAATTTATAAAGGTTACCATAAGTCATGCTTTGTTTAGTAATGAGTCTGTCGAAATGTTCACAACGTAGTTTTCTATTTACTAAAAATGTATATCCTTATTTCTGCAAGTACGGCTGAGTAAGCTCCTAATAGGCTGACTGTCTATAGATAACTATAAACTCCTAAACTGAACAAAATATAAAAACTAAGTATCTGAAGCTTCTGGAGAATGATCGAACACAAGGAGATTCTGGAAGGGAGTCAAGACTTGGAAGAACGGAATGGCCTGGGCGAATTTACTGATTTTAGAGTTTTTAGCCTGAGTAGCAGAGTCTGAAGCAACTATAGTGCTGAAATGTGAGGGAGGAATACTAGAAAATACAGAGTTAGAGTTCAGGAGCCCCAGTTTTGTTTATAAAATCTACCAAAATCTCTGGCTGACCCCCAAATCATGTATGCCAAAAATAAATGCAGAAGTCAAAAATAAATGCAGAAGTCAAAGTAAGGAAAGAACTGAACTGAGATCTGTACTCCTATCCAGCAGACCAAGTCTGCAGTCTGAATCCAAAAATGTCAGCATTCCTCCAAGAAATATAACAGAACCCAGGGTAGTTTCCACAATATTAGACTCACAATGTCCAGTATACAATCCAAAATTACACAACATACAAAAAAACCTGAATGATATGACTTATTATCAAGATAAAAGATTATCAATTCAGGTCAAATCTAAAATGACTAAGATTTTAGAATTAGAGACTTCAAAGCACCTATTTTAATAGTGCTCAATGATGTAAATAACACCTGCAATGAATAAAAAAATAGAAAATCCCAGCAGAGAAAAAAAAAATTTTTCACATACACATATTTACATATGAATCAAATATAAATTATGAAATAGATCATTACAATAACTGATATAAAAATGTATCTGATGGGCTTAGAAAAATAAAGAGAACATAGGAAAGAATCAAGGAGTTTAAGACACAGTAGAAATGATCCAATCCGAAGAACAAGGGGAAAAAAACAAATAAAAGTGAAAAGAGCCACAGGAACCTTTTTGAAGATATCAAAAGACTGAACATGTGTATAAATGAAGTCTCAAAAGGTGGGGAGAGAAAGGGTCAGAAAAAGATGAAATGGACAAACTCCTTGAAAAACAAACAAAAATTCACAAAAGATAAAGTGGAGAATCTGATTAGTGCCCTGTCAGTTAAAGACATTAAACTCATCACCAAACTCCAGGCCCACATGGCTTCACGAGTGAATTCTATCAAATACTGAGAACGAAGTAGCACCAAACTAACATACATTCTTTAAAAAGAAGGGAAAGGAACACTTCTCCACTCACTCTACGAAACACTAATACCAAAATCTGACAAAGATATTATATATATATATATATATAAAAAAATTATAGGGCAGTATCATGAAGATAGATGCATTTGAATCCAACAACACATAAAAAAGATAATACATCATTACCAAGTATGATTTGCCTCAGGAATGCAAAGTTGGTTTAATTTAAATCAATCAATCTATAATATTCACTATATTAACAGTATAGAGGAGTAACACCCGATCCCGATGTTCATTTTAATAGATGCAGAAAAGGCATTCAACAAAATTCATCACCCAGTCAGGATCAAATCTCTGAGTAAAACTGGAACAGAATGGAACTTCCTCTACCAAATAAAGGGCATTAACAAAAAAAACCCTATGACTGTTATGTTCTTAATGATAAAACATAGAATGCTTTCCACCTTGATTGGGAAGAAGGGAAGAATGCCTAATCTTACCACTTGTATTCAAGCATTATACCAGAAACCCTAACCAATAAAATAATGCAAGCTAAATAAATAAAAAGAATAAAAACTGGAAAGGAAGACATAAACCGTTTATGCATATGATAAATATGTATATAGCATATGTTAATAAATCTATAAAATGATTTTCTAGAACAAGTGAATTTAAGCAAGGTAGCAGAATACAAGGTCTATATACAAAACTTTATATTGGAAGCAAAAAATTGGAAAATACAGTTTTTAAATATTCATTTTACAATAGTGTCAAAAAACAAAAAATACTTAGGAATGTTTAACAGAAGACAACTTTTACCCTGAAAAGTATAAAACACTGCTGATAGAAACTGAAAATCTAAATAAATGGAAAGATATATCACGCTCAAGGCAGGAAAGACTCTTTCAATATTGTTAAGATGTCAAATCACCCTAAATTGATCAAGAGACTCAATGCAACTGCAATCATAATCCCAGCAGAATGTTTTGTGAAAATCAATAAAATAATTCTTAAATTTATATGGAATTGTAAAGGATCGATATCCAAGCAATCATGAAAAAGAAGGACAAAGTTGAAGGGACTACATTACTTAACTTCATGTCTTACTATAAAAAGCTACAGTACTGAAGACAGTATGGGACCAGCATAAAGATCCATAAATAGATAAATGAAATAAAACTGAAACTGCAGAAACAGACCCTCACATACATAGTCATCTAATTTTCATTAAAAGTGTCAATACAATCAGTGGGAGGAAAACATCTTTCAACAAACGGTACTGGAAAAACTGGATACTCGAATGGGGAAAAAATGAATTTTGACCCTCTATCTCACACCATACACAAAAATTAATTAAAAAGTAATTTGAGATGTATCATAGATCTAAAAGTAAAAGCTATAATGATAAAGCTTTTAGAGGAAACAGAGGAGACTACCTTTATAAAATGTAAAGACTCTAACATTTCGTTCAGGTTGGCAAAGATAGTGGACAGAAGATAATCATAAAAGAAAAACGTGACACATTAGAGGTCATCAAAATGAAAAATTTCTGCTTATCACAAGACTCTATTAAGAAAATAACAGGCAAGCGATAGACTGAGCCAAATATTTATAAAACATTTATCTAACAAAAGATTTGTGTCTCGGATATACAAAAAAGCTCCTACAACTCAATGATAAAAAGACATACAGGCCATTTAGAAATAAGCAAAAGATCTAAAAAGACACTTCAAAATCAAAGATATATGAATGGCCAATAAGTACCTGAAAAGTATACAAAATCATCAGGGAAATGCAAATTAACAGCACAAGAAAATACCAATACACTATAAGAATAACTAAAATTAAAGAGATTGACAATATCAAATACTTTTGAAGATATGGAGCAGCCACAATTTGCTTGCATTGTTCCTGGAAATGTCACAAGGTACAAACGCTCTGGGAAAAATGTAAGACAATTTCTCACAAAACTAAATACATAGCAATTTAAATCCTAGGTATTTACTCAAAAGAAATGAAAACATATGGTCACAAAAAGACTTTACAAAAATGTTCACAGCAATTTAATTTAATTTACCCAAAACTGAAAACCATTCAAGCAAATGGAAAGATAAATTGAGGCATATCTAGGTAATGAACCTAGATAATAATAATAATAATTCAGCAATCAAAAGAAATGAACTACTGGTATATAGACAACAGTATGCATGAATCACGTACATGGACACTCAAAAGAAAGAAAAATTGAAAAACAGGGTAAAAAGAGTATCAATTCAGGCCAAATCTAAGATGACCAAGATTGTAGAATTAGATAGAGACTTTAAAGCGCATATTTTAATTGTGCTCAATGACATAAAATAATACCTGCAATGAATGAAAAACAGAACTTTTTTCTAGAATAGATAATATTTTGAACATTTATGCGCTAAGCCCAGTGCTAAGCATTTAACATGGATAATTCTATTTAATTCTTAACAATCCAACCTCATCTTACAAAAGAAGAAATTAAAGTAGAAAGAAATTAAATAGGTTGTCCAAAGTTACATCACTAGTATAACTCAGAAGCATAATTTTTTAGAGTCCCATAACTCACACTAAAGTCAAACAGAAAAAAATGGAAGCACTAAATAGGTTTTTAATTAACTTTAAAAGTATGTATGGGGGGGCACCTGTGCTAAGGGAAAACACCTCAGGAAAATATTACACAGAATATAAATTAAACATCTGCTCCCCTGCCAATAAGTTTAACACACCTGCAGTGCGGACCTCACTGTCTTACCTTAGGGAACTGTTTTACAGGAATTAACACTTTCTGTCCCAGCTTCATGTTCTTATTAATCACCACATCAATGTACTTTTCTTCATCCTTGCCTTCTCCTTTTTGAAACTTTTCTATTTCTGTGAAGGAAAAAAGATAACCATGAAGTGTATAACTTAGAACTCCAAAGATTGGGAGTTCTTGTTATCTCTACTGTGGCATGAAATCAAACACAGAAATATGGACCATTAGATTGTTATAAATTTTTCCAGAATGATATATTTCCCATTTTATCAATGATTCTTCACCAGTACAGTGGAAAAAATGCATAGACCATGACTCTACAAAGTCAAATCTCAATTGCCCATGTTAATGGAGGAGAGCAATGGATGAGCTCACCAACAAATACATGCATAACAATAAGTTCCTTGGGGCCTTCTGGAATCCTAAAGAAAGGCTGATCAAATAGCAAAGAAAAGTCAGCAAGTATTCTCAGTTCAGTGTTACATCCCTATTTATCAATCCTGCCTGGCTCTCCAAGGCTTATACCACCAAGAATTGATTCCTTAAGATGGCATTAAAGCCCTCGACAACCTTCTGTCAGTGGACATCCCCAACCACATCTTCCCTCCTCACAAGCGACACAGATCAACTCCATGCTCATGTCTTTGATAACGCTCTTTTCTCTACTGGTAACGTTATTTTGATGACTTCAATTTCATATATTTCCTTCAAGATTCAACCACATTAAATACCACTCTTTATAGGCGACTATCCCTTTCCTCAATGGGGCAGCAGCAGTGGGAGAATCAAATAATCTCACCTTGATATTCTCAATGCACTTTATGTACAACTGTACTATAACTCTCAGACAAAAAAAAAATTTGGTACCTCTACTATAGACAATGTTTGTGCCTCCCCCATTCATATGTTGAAATCCTAACCCCCAATCTGATGGTATTAGGAGCAAGGCTTTAGGGAGATGACAGGATCATGAAGTTGGAGTGCTCATAAATGAGATTACTGCTGTTATAAAAGAGACCCCAGAGAGCTCTTTCACCCCTTCTGCCATGTGAGGACATAGCAAGAAGACCACTGTCCATGAGCCAGGAAGTGGGCCCTCACTTGACTCCAACTCTACAGGCATGTTGATCTTGGACTTCCCAGCCTCCAGAACCCTGAGAAATAAATTTCTGTTGTTTATAAGCCACTCACATTCTATGGTATTCTGTTATAGCAGCCCAAATGGACTAAGAAACTCTCCCACCAGAACATAAATTTCTCTTAGGTAAAATCTGTTTCTTCATTCAACAAACATCTACTACTAAGCACCTCCTGTGTGCAAGTTCCAGATCTTGGAAAATCTTAGTTTACTCTTTCCTCACATTACTGCCTATAGCATTTGGCTGCAGAAGAAGTACATGAGTATGTGCTGGAATGACTGCTGAATGAATGCATACATGGACCGTTCCCTCCACAGACTGACCACCAGATACCCAGGGTCAAAGAAGGGTACCAAAGCATGGAGAAGGTACCAAAGACGGCATTAGTTGTACAAAGGGATACACGTTTATTCATTTTGCTTGTTGAGCCAGGAATATTTAAGAATTTAACGTGTTTCACGTTCATGAGATAATTCAATCCTCACAACAGACGAAAAGTTCAGAAAGGTTACTTTACTAACAAATGGCAAAGGTAGGATTTACCCACAGGTTTGTCTCACTCTAAAGACAGTGTGCCACTGCAGTCTCTTCCACTGTTTCTTATGTCATCTCTGACAGAAAATAAGATTTTCATGGCATCCTTGGATAAACAGAGGATGTGTTTAAAGCTAGAAGCTTCAGGCCTGGGGCTTCAGTCATCACAGAAGAACCTGGTGTCTGCTCTTAGTAATTCTCCAACCATTGGCCCCTTCATTCTGCTTATTAGCTCTAAACCCCTAACTGTCTTTGCTGTACTCAGAGTTGAGCCTGATCTCTCTCCTCTACAGCAACACAGTCTTGACACCTATCGTGATAGTCCTGAATGAAGTCTTCCTTACCACTTTAACAAGTGTCAGAAGAATTTTTTCTTTAACAGTGCATGGTAGAAAGTCAGTATATAGGTGGGGTGTAGTAAAAAATATATATTTGTGTCTTTGTCCCCAGTTCCTGGCACAGAGCTCCTAAAACTCTTGGAATTTCCTGAGTGAGGAGAGTGCCTTTTGTTATGCATAACAAGCCCCTCTCAACCATACCTGAGTTTATATTAATGAGGTGACTCTTGGAGGATGGGAGCTGGTTGCCAGGAAAACCAACCACGTGATTAGAGGGTTGGAACTTTCAGCAACTCCCACTTCCACCCACCTCTGGGGAGAGGAGAGGAACCAGAGATGGAGCCCAATCATCAACGGCTAGTGATTTAATCAATCGTGCCCACATAATGAAAACTCCACAAATACCCCAAAACAACAGTGTTTGGAGAGCTTCTGGGCTGGTGAACAGATCCAAGCGGTGTGCCTAGAGAAGGTACGGAAGCTCCACATCCCTCGCCCCGCACCTTGCCCTACGCGTCTCTTCTATCTGGATGTTCCTGACTTGTATCCTTTATAATAAACCATAACAGTAAATAAAGTGCTTTCTTGAGCTCTGTTAGTCATTCTAGCAAATTACTGAACCTGAGGCTGGGTCGTGGAACACCCAAATTTGCAGTTGGCCAAGCAGAAACAGGGCAGTCTGGGCACCCCATTTGCAGATGACATCTGAAGCAGTGGCAGCCTTGTGGGACTGAGCTCTTATTCTGTGGGGTCTGCCCTAACTCCAGGAGTTAGTGACAGAATTAAATTGAATTGAACTGTTGGACACCCAGCTGGTGTTGGAGAGTTGGTTGGTGTCAGAAAACACTACACGATAGAGATTAAGAGTGATGGGGGGAGAGATGAAGGAAAGGAGAAAACGACCTGAAGATAAAAAAGGATGGCTGAGAGAAAGGAACAGCAAATTAGCTCTGCAGCTTCTGACCAAAGCGTCTAAGAATAAAGATAAATACTAAATCTCCAAATAAACTAACTGATTATTTTGTCTGCTTTCTTGTATTATCCTATATTTTGATCCTGTAAAACTGATTCTAAATAGAATCTGCATAGGAACAATATACACTGAAATAGAAGGATGTGAAATGTAAAGATTTATTCAGATCATTCTTGCTATTGTTGTTGAGAAAACCTTTCAAAAGTACTTTTAATTTTGATTCTTTTCTATAAAAATAAAAAGTATACATGGTAAGTTTTAAACAGTATAACAGGATATAAAATTAAAAGGTTTCACCTACACTCATACTCCACAGGTGGTAATAATCAACAATTTGATATACTCTTTCATAAATTTTCCATGAATAAATAAGCACATGTGAATGCACACACGCACACACACAACACACAAAGGGTTTGACAATTGTAGAACTAATAGCATAAATGAGCTAAGTTAGTTTTGTTTTCCTCAGTAAAGAGCAAGTCACAGGTCATTTGCACCATGGAGTATAACAATTCAGGACTTCAGCTTTCATTAGTAGAAGAAAATAAATTCCACATTTTTATTTATCCATTTATGCTATAATTGGAAATACCTTTAGCATAGTTAGAAGACTGAAAAAAATTAGGTACACTGAAACTTCCTAGAAAAAATTCCATGTACATACGTTTGTCAAAATAGATTTAACTCTCTATTTTCTTTTCAAATAACAAAGCATTTTTACAATTTTGAGAACTTATATGCACTATTTAATATTTAATTTTATAATCAGAATTCAAACGTTATTCCTTGCATCAGTGACATTTGTTTAACATTTGAAGTAACATGTCAAGTCATAAAGGCTAAAATGTAGAGAAAAATAATGTATTTTACCACATATTAAATTAAAATTTGAGATATGTGTATGATTTTAAACAGGAAAATAAAAATTAAAAGAAAACATATATGAAATATCTAATTTCCTCTCTAGAAAAGAGTCAACTTTGCAAATCGTATGTCGCTAAAATACCTTGTTGTTACCATAAGTAAGCTTTGAATTATGTTGAAATATAATATTTCCCTGTTTAAGATTTATCTAAAAAATGTTTAAAGCCTGATGCCATGTTAAAAGCATGTAGTTTTACACGTACTAAATTTAACACACAGCACAGTAATGGAAAGAGCCCCAATCCCAGACTCTGGAATCAAACAGATCTGGTTTAAATCATGGCTATTGTACTTTTCTCTGGCCCTTGTGCCCCCCAACATTAAATTCAAAACTGGTCAAAACTTTTATTTCTTTACGTGCTGTTCAATCAATAATTTTGTATTTTCTACTTGATTGAGGATCCTAAGTAGTTTGATGTTTTCATGAAGTCCAATAAAATACAATGCAAAAAACAGGGGAATTGTACAAGATGATCTATGAAATCTTGAAACAACTTTCCAGTATTTACGCCTGTCCCTAATTGGGAGTTTCATATTCCAAAACTCATGCGACCACCCCTCTACTCTTCCGTGGGGAAGGGAAGGTACTTCACATCCACCAAGCAGGATATAACCTTTTAGTTAATTGTAGCAAATGAAGGCCAACCACAGGGAAAATTCAAGCAGATTTTCAAGGTCGAATGCATAGGGGATTTGACTTTCACTAATCCGCAGATTACATTTGTTACCATACAGTTTAATGTACCAATGGCATCTCCCAGCTCAGAAATGATAAGCAACCATGTGATTAGGTTTTAGATAACGTAGGGGATTAAAATGCCATGTTTTTAAACCATGGACACTACATTTCTGTCAGCCCAGAAATCGAATGTCAGTTATGTCTTTTTTGGCTTTTGCTCATTTCTTTTTTGTTTTTGCCTTGGTCCAATACAGAGCTTCCTAAACACTTACCTTTTTAACCTACCAAATATATTAAAATCCACTAATCCTCTAAAAATAAACAGTCAAATAATCTTTGAATTTAAATCAGTTAAATTTCCAATATAAAAAATTTTAGTAGTGTAAATTTTCATTAAAACTGCTTAAATTCGCTCACAGAATCAGACACATCTAAATTGATGTTTCCTTGGTCCCAGCAGCTCCATTTCTGGAGTTAACTGAGTCCTGATACATTGAAGAAATTGTACTAGGTGCTGGGAATAGAACAGAGAATCTGAGGGATGGAAATGGATAAATGTAATACAACGTGCACAGTGCTGCAGAAAAGGGACTAACTAACAGCTTTGGAATCTGTACAATTATTCAAAAAGCTATCAAATATGTGTTAAATTCTTAAAGGATAAGGAATGGAGACTGCCAGCAAAGAAATGATGAATTCAATGACGTAAAGTAACCCCGTGTGACACAAGTTCACATTCACTCATCTGATTAGACTGCACAGTTGATATATGGAGTTTTACCAAGATATCATAACCTATTTTTTTTCCTTTTCTCTTTTAACAGTACAAAATGGAACAAATCAGACAAATAATGATGACAAAATCCTATAATCATAGAATCAGTTAGTGAGCAAGCTTAGACATGAACTCAATTTCCTGACCCAAGTCCTGGGTTCTTGCAGAAAGATGGGGCACAGTGAGAAGTGAGAAGTTCACAGTGAGAAGAGAGGTAGATCTCTGTGGCCAACAAAGAGAAGAAATGAGGACAAAGCATGAAAAGGCAGGCCAGGTTCTTAAGGTCAAAACTGAGATACTAACAGTTCAGTAACCTCAGGGAGATACTAAAAGTTGTTGGCTGAGGAATAACCTGATGAGAGACATTCTGAAGGAGAGGTAATCTGGCAGCTGAGTAGAAAAGGAAATAGAGGAAATATGGAGAGAGAGAAAGCAGATTAAAACACAGCTGGATAATAAAACAAACAAATGAATGTTGAACTAGAAAGTATATTTATATTTAAAGTGGACAGAAGATGGATAGGAAGCCACCAAAGAGGCAAACCCTTCATATTTAGAGACAGCATCAAGCCTACTGAATATCCAACTAAACACACAGCGACACAGTTGGCGCCCCCTCCCCTTCCTCTATCTTCTATCCCGTAACTGACCATCTTTGTCCACAGGTTCTAAAGCACCACGCTCATCATGCCTTAGGCTTCTGAACTTGTTCTCCAAGATTGGAATACTTCTCTGGACTTTTTGCCAGCAATAACCTT